GGAGGGCGGCGGGTGCCACGCGGCAGGGCTGAGCCAGCTCGTCCCGTCCCCTCCCCCGCGCCGGGCGGAGGGGCTAGCGCTGCGGTGGCGTCGTAGGAAAGGAGGCTCGTAAGCGAGCTCAGCAGGGCCCGCACCGGCCCCGAGAGCGTCCCAGCCAAGGCTTGGGCCTTAAAAACGTCCGGGGATGGATTTTCTCACGAGGAGGGAAGTAAAACACAGGAACAGGCATGGGCCAGCGGTGCCTCCTGAGTCATGGGGAGGTGCCAGTCAGTGACGGGGGTCCCCGTGGTCAATCTGCCAAGGGGAGGTTTCTGATCGACCCAGAACTGCGCTTCTCCTGGCGCCCCCACTCCCCGCCAGCACAACCGGGGGGCACTGGCGCTCCCGCCTCACACCCCTGCCCGTCACCTAAGGGGAGGGTGCTGGCTGCCAGGGGGCACCAGCGCTCTTGGGGGGGGGGGCACGTGCAGCCCCTACACGTCGCCCCTGGGAACAGGTGACCCAGAGAGGTGGCGGAAGAAGCTGCGTCCTTGGAGGTTTTCAAGACCCGGCTAGACAAAACTTTGGCTGGGATGATCTAGTTGGGGCTGGTCCGGCTTTGAGCAGGGGGTTGAACTAGATCCACGGTTCTCAACCTTATGCGCCTTACATCCCACCAGCCATTTTGTCAAAAAAACCCTGGTCCCACCAGGATAAAAAGAAAACCCCGTAAAATTGCACTGTTCAAGATATCTGTTGATTGATGTATTTGAAGTGCAAACAAGTGTTTTTTTAAATCGGGCAATGAGTTGAAGCCCCACCTACACGACCTTCAATTCCCACCAGTGGGGCACATCCCACTGGTTGAGCACCGCTGGACTAGATGGCTTCCTGGGGGTCCCTTGCAACCCTCAATTTCTATGATCCCACCACCTGTCTAAGTAACCTGTTCCAGTAATCACCACCCTCCTAGTAAAGAAGTTTTTCTTAATATCCAACCTAACCTTCCATTGCTGCAACTTGAGCACATTGCTCCTTGTTCTGTCATCTGCCACCACTGAGCACAGTCCAGCTTCATCATCTTTCAACCCCAGCCCCCCCCAGGTAGTTGAGGGCTAATATTAAATCCCCACTCAGTTGTCTCTTCTCTAGACTAAATAAGCCCAGTTCCCTCAACCTCCCCTCACAAGTCACGTTCCCCAGGCTCCTAACCCTCTTATTTGCTCTCCACTGGACTCTCCAATAGATGCATGA